TGAGGGTTGTGATCCGTTGCCGGACATGGAAAAAGACAAAAAAAGACAAAAAAAAAAAAAAGAAAGCTGTGTGAATATCTATAAGGAAAGGGTGGCTTAATAAATTGCAAACAGACTCATATTAACACATATTATTGTAAATTTCAGGTCACCAGAGATAAAGAGAAAATAATAATTTCTACAAAGGATTTCAGATAGAAAAATAAAACACAGGGATGTGGATCAGGATGGCATTGGATTTTCAATAGCTACACTGGATACCAAAAAACAGTAGAGGAATATCCTCAAAACTCAGAAGGAAAATTATTTGTACACTTGAAATGTATACCCAGCCAAACTATCAGTCCAATGTGAGAATGAAAAGAAGACATTTTCAGAAAAACAAGGTCTCAGAAATTGACCTCCCATGTACCTTTCTTAAGAAAAAACTGAAGGATGTTTTCCAAAGAAAAAAGAAAAATTATCAAGAAAGTGGAAGACATCGAATTCAGAAAATGTGTGAATTCAACAAGAAAGTAGTGAATAAAATTCCCAAGATAATATTGAAGGCAGGTTCCTTTATGACAGCTGTGGGGAGGAGGACAGGAGCACCAGTAGTTCTCTGGAGAACTTTCTCCAGGGCAGGAAGAATGGAATTGACAGACTATCTGAAAGGTTTTAAAGAAAATTATATAAAGAGAAAAAGAGGGCCAGCCCGGGGGCGCACTTGGTAGAGTGTGGCACTTGGGAGTGCGGCGGCGCTCCCGCCGAGGGTTCAGATCCCATATAGAGACCAGTCCGCTCACTGGTTGAGTGCAGTACAGGCACAACACTGAGGGTTGCGATCGTTACCAGTCACGAAAAAAGACAAAAAGGAAAAAAAAAGAGAGAGAGAAAAAGAATACAATAAATTCAGGCTGGAGTATACCAGGTACAAGTTAGACATGAAAGTGAAATAACCAGGTGAAGGAGGCTTTAAACAAATACGTCTAAAATGAGCAGGGAGTGGGAGAAACACGGGGCACAGATGTATCAATGCATATGTGCATGCACATGCATGCGCCTACGAGTGTGTGTGTGTGTGTGTGTGTGTGTGTGTGTGTGTGTGTGCGCATGCGTCTCCCGGGGGTGAGATGTGAGGACAGAGGAAGAAAAAGAATTCTACTGCACCCAGAGGACATGCTGCTAATGTAAATCTCAGGCTGCTTTATGGAAATGTCCTTCAGGTTATTACAGAATCTGTTTGTTTTTCCACTTTACCGTAAGGTGCAAGGTCTCTGCTAACTCTGCCATGTGGCCTGTAGCTTGTTGTATCTTCCTGGGAGTTGGCATTTCCCATGTGCCACCATCCCCACAGCACAGCCCTTGACTTGAGGATGGAGGAGTGTGATGGCTTGGTGAGATCTGTTGATATGAAAAGGTTTCCTGAGGGCCATATCATAACCCTTGTGCAAAGTCTGCTGTCACATATTTAAGCTGAGTTGTGTAAAGTACACTAAGTAGAAACACTGTTTCTAAGGCCTCTGTGTGGTGCTTCCACCCATTAAAAGGGTTTCAGCAAAAAGCACATGAGACAGGGAAGCTTCCTGCTGATTTGAGAAGGGAGATGACTCTCTGCCTTTTAAGTCTAGGTGGAAGTCACAGTGGGAATGCTGTTCTGCAAAAATGTTTGCTTGTTTTCTTTTTTGTGTCTCTTTGACTATTACTAATGATTGTTGCTATTTGTCTTTAAGATCTGAGGCACAGAAAACTCTTTACAATATTATTTATTTCACACAAGATAATCTTATAGAAATGACAGAGATTATACCAGGACAGAGGTGGAATAACAGTCTAGCCAAAAAAAAAACAGGAGGGATGTCAAAGGCATTGGGCTAGGGATGGCACCAGACTACTGAGGAGGATCCTAAAAGAGTGCACCAAGTAGGCAGTGGCCCCTAGGGCCTGGGCTCAGAGACCTGGCTTCACGTGCTGGTTGTGGACACAGACAAATGATTTAGCATATCTGTAAAGTAGAGATAATTATTCATATCATGGGATTATTTCAAAGATAGCATATGTGGAAGGCTTTAAATGTAAGGAATTATAAAAGTATAATTTATTATAATTCATATAATAATAACACATATAATATATAATTAGTATGATATATGATCTACAATTATTATGATACATCTTATAATACAATATATATACAATATCTTTGCATTTTTCAGAGTTACTTTGATACACTGTTCCCAACATGTAGACAATTAAGCTGTTGCTGATATATCACTGGAATCACTGAGGTGACAGTTCTCACACTATGCTTTTGGTGCAAAGACCAATTTCTCGACTAGGCAGCTGCCAAGTAGTGAAAGGAGCCCTGAGTATCCTTAGGATCCAGGACCAGGTGTCTTGACTCTGCCACTCTTTGCTGTGCACTCTTGGTAGGTCATATTCCTTCTCTGAGCCTGAGTCTTCACATCTGTACAATGAAGGGCTTAAATGGATGGTCTCTAGGATTCTCTACCTACTCAGAAATCCTGTTTCTTGGGCCGAGCCCGTGGCACACTCGGGAAAGTGCGGCGCTGGGAGTGCAGCAGCGCTCCCGCCGCAGGTTCAGATCCTATATAGGGATGACCGGTGCGCTCACAGCACTCACTGGCTGAGCGCGGTGCGGCCGGTCTCAAAAAGGACAAAAAAAAAATTTTTTGTTTCTCATATGAGGCATTTCAGTTAGGCATAGGGATAGTCAGCAACTGTGTTAGCTATGTATGACTACAAAACAAATTACCCCCTGTATTAATCCATTTCTGCTGCTTTTAACAAAATACTTGAAACTGGGTAATTTACAAAGAAAATGAAATTTATTGCTCACAGTTTTCAAGTCCAAAGTCCAGGGAACACATTTGGTGAAGGCCTTGGTGGTGGTGACACAGACCCAGGGGTCTTACATGGTAGAAAATGGCAGAGCAGAGAGAGAGTCTCACTGCTCTCCTTTTAAAGCCCTCGGAACCACGCCCCGGACCACCATGACTGATCCATTCACTACGGCATGGTCCTACAATCTAATCAACTCTTCAAGGCCCCACCTTTCAATTACAATAATAGGATTTCCCGCCCTCTTAACAGTCACTTTGGGGCTCAAGCTACTAATACATAAAACTTGGGGGACACAATCCGTATCACCCCCAAAGTTAGCAGCTCAAGCAACATTTATTATCTCAGAGTTTCTGTGGGTTAGGAATCTAGGCTCCATTAGCTGGGGCCTCTGACTCAGGGTTTCTCACAAGGCTTCAGTCAAGCTCTGGGCCGGAGCTGCAGTCATCTCAGGTTCAACAGGATGGGAGGTGGGGCAGGGGTGGATCCACTTCCAAGCTCACTCATGTGCTGTTGGTGGCAGAATTCAGTTCCTCTAGGGTGGCTGGATCAAGGACCTCAGGTTCTTGCTGGGTGCTGGCCAGAGATATCCATTCCTTCCACATGGGCTTCTCCATAGAGCTACTCAAAACATGGAAGCCAGCTTTCCTCAGAGTGAGTGCTCTGAGAGAGAGAGGGAAAAAGTAAGAGAGAGAAAGTGCTGTTAGAGGGCGAACAGGACTGACACCGTTTTGTGCCCTGCTCGCCATTTTGACACAATCCTTTGTTTCAGTGACCAGTGAAAGATTAACCTTAGGGCAAGCGTAACAGGAATATAGGGTTTAGGGAGTAGATGACTAATCACACTTCATGGTGTCAGCTGTCTGCACACAAGCATCACAAGCCCCCTGCTTCCTACATCACAGGAATCTTATTTTTCTTAACCTATTTCTTTGAAGTTATTTTGAGTAACACTGCTATATAATCCTTGCCTAAAAGCCAGAGACAGAGAGCTGTCATCTGCTATAGATGTCTGGCTCTTTGCTGCATGCAACATTCCCTGTATGCAAGTTACCCTTTAATAAAACTCCTTGTAAACTGTATGGATTTGCCTGCTTCATTCTTAGGTCTGAAAGTTCCTTCCTGGTTTGGAAGGTATTATATTTTAACCCCCTCCTTGCACAGTGCCCAAAATAGAAGCCACAGTCTTTTTGCATCTAAATCTCAGAAGTGACATCCCATTGCTTCTGCCAAATTCTATTCAATAGAAGCAAGTCAATAAGTCTAGCTCATATTCAAGGGGAGGGAATTACACGAGGGCATGAAGAGTGGGAGGCAGGGATTGGCGGAGCATCTTAGAGTCTGCAGACCACAATAAGTAAGGGAGAATCTTCAGGACAGTGCCTCAGAGTTAGAATCATATATTATTTATTCACTGGTTCGTTCATGCAACAAACCTTATTCACTGCCTTCCATGATGTAGCAAAGACAACAGCTAGGAAGATCCTTGTCCCCACCTACTCACATTTTCTCTCAGTGAAGTGAAGGTGGGAGGCTGTCAGAATCACCTGGAACTGCTTCTCAACTGTGTGTGCCCATGAGAACCCTCCACACACAGCGATTCGAATACACTTCCCTGTTAAGAATTACTAATAGGAGAAAGGCTAAGACTGGTACTCAAAGGACTATATCGTGTAAAGTGGAAACAGGGAAAGACTATAAGAGAATTCTCCTGCCCCCAGACCCAGAAGTGCTCTCCCAGTAGCTGTTTCTGAGAGACATTATTGGAAGAAGCAAATGCTATAAAATGCCACATTCCAATAAGGAGCCAGAAGGTGACTGCTTCCATACCAGAAACTTCCAGTGCCCTCCTATTTCATTTTCTTCTTTTATAGTTTTCTGTGCCTATCTTCCCCACCAGACAGAAAACTTCACTGAGGAAGTGTCTCTGTTATATTTATATCCTCCCACCCCAAGACTCACCTTTCCAGTCAATCTCCCTCTGCCCCATTTAGTTTAATGTTATGCATGTAAAGCATGCTCAATAGTTAACTTAAAAAGTAAAACAAAATGAGATACAAAATACTGCAAAAGTTCAGAGGAGACAATACACTTAAGTAAGAATGTTATTTGAAGTCTTTGCAAGAAAGAGAAGGAATTTATACTGGGTTTCCACTGAAATTAATTTTTTGCCTGTAAAGTTTTGTCACCAGACCCTGTTGGTGAGAGGGCAGCATGCATGGTGGGCGAGCCCTTTGTGTGAGACACAGTGGAGCTCGAGGAAGTGAGTGCCGCTTTTTTCTTCATTCTTCCTTTATCTTTCTTGATACCAAGACTCAAGGGGAAAATGGTGTCATCATCAAAGGCTGACTTCTGTAGGTTGTGGGGCACATGTTAGCAGTCACATGAATGGGCTCTGCATGGCACAAATGTCCCTAAGTGGCTCTAATAGTGTCCTCCAAAAATTCACGTCCACTCAGAACCCCAAAATGTAACCTTATTTGGAGATAGGGTCTTTGCAAATGTGATTAGTTGACGATCTTCTGGTGAAATCACCCTGTACTTAGGGTGGGCCTTAAATGCAATGACTTGGTGCCCTTATAAGAAGAAGAGAGGACACAGAGACTTAAAGGACACCTGAAGACAGAGGCAGAGATTGGAGTTACACCTACTGTGATATTGTGATTTATAATAAGAAATGCATATTTTTTTCTTTTTCCCCAGGTCCTGGCACAAAGCTTCCCAAGAAATAAGGGTGCTAGGAGAATCTTCTGTTCCAATATTTGGTATTGGACCCTGGTTCCTGACATAGAGCTTCTAATCCTTGGAATTTTTCTGGGTGATAGGAGCATCTTTTTGTTCTAATGAGGCAACTGCTGGTAGGCTTCTGGGTGGGAGCAGGTCATTAGAAAGACCAAGCCATGATTAGGCTTTTGGAGTTTTCATCCTCCTCCCCCATCCTCCAGGAAGGGGAGAGGGACCAGAGATTGAGCTAATAATGGATCGTGCCTACGTGATGAAGCCTCCATAAAAATCACTGAACTACAGCGAGAGCTTCCAGGTTGGTAAACACATCCATATGCCAGGAGGGTGGTGTACCCTAACTCCTTGGAGACAGAAGTTCTCATGCTCAGATCCTTTTATGCTTCACCCTATGTATCTCTTTATCTGGCTGTTCATCTATATTTTATCATATCCTTTATTAATATAATAAACTAGTAAACATAAGTAAGTGTTTCCCCGAGTTCTGTGAGCTTCTCTAGCAAATTAATCGAACCTTAAGAAGGGGTTCATGGGAACCTCTGATTTGTAACCCAGTTGGACAGAAGTTGTGGCTAACTTGCTATTTATGATTAATATCTGAAGTATGGGGCGGTCTTGTGGGACTGAGCCCTTAACCTGTGGGATCTGATGCTATCTCCAAGTAGACAGGGTCAGAATTGAGTTAAATTAGAGGACACACAGCTGATATCACAGGGTTGGTCGATGTGGAGAAAAACCCCACATGTCCAGTCATGGAAGTGTTCTGTTTTGAATGTGTGAGAGTAGAAACAGTTTGGTTTTTCCTATCTCTTAAACCTCCACAAATGAGAAACTCCTGGAGCCACCAGAAGCTGGAAGACACAAGGAGGGATTCTCCCCCAGGGCTTTTGAAGGGAGCTCGGCCCTGCGGACACCTTGATTTCAGACTTCTGGCCTCCAAAACTATGAGAGAAGAAATTTCTATTGTTTTAAATTGCCATGTTTGTGGTCACTTTACAGCATCCTTAGGGAATTAATAGTCCCCAAACACTCACAGAACTGTGGGTAGCCCAGAAACCAAATGCATCCATAATTATTTCCCTAAAATAAGTACTAAGTTTTCACGTCCTCCGATACCCCAGGTGGGCATTTTTCTGCTTTGGGGACATTGTACAAGACAGGAAGAAAGTGAAAGGTGTGAAGTGCTTGGTCTTCTGGCCGAGGGTGTCTCCTGCTTGCACACCATCTTGCTGCTCCTCAGAAGGGTTTACCCCAGACAAATGTGCATGGGTCTTTTGAGGGTGTCATTTAGAGTCAGGCAGGGTGGTGAGATCATGGCCCAGTTAGTCCCAGAGGGCTATACGAGTTGAGAGTTATTTCTCCACAGGAATTTAAAAATTAGCAAATTTTACAAGGCGATACTCATTTAGATGTGAAATGGTTGGTGGCTATACGAGTTGAGAGTTATTTCTCCACAGGAATTTAAAAATTAGCAAATTTTACAAGGCAATACTCATTTAGATGTGAAATGGTTGGTGCTGGCTATGTATGTGATCACAGAGGTCCAGAGGTGACCAACTGGGCAGTTATGTGGACAAGTTAGGGTTGAGGCCAGCTGAGGGGAGTGAGAAGACAGCCCACAGTGTGTAGGCACACACACTTTGCAGTTTGAACCTGTGCGATAGGGGTTCAGTGTGCCCCCAAATTTCCATGTATTAAAAACTTAATCCCCACTGTCACAGTATTAAGAGGTATTAAATTCTATTACAGCAATTGAAAGGTAGGGCCACTGGGGGGTGATTAGATTGTGAGGACTGTGCCCTGGTAAATAGATTCATCCACTCGTGGAGTGATGGGC